ATAAAATATAAACACGTGTTCCTAAGACGCATTAAATTTCATAAACAGTGTATTAAGTTTTATAAATAGTGTAGTACTATTAAGTTTTATAAACAGTGTAGTACTATTAATTTTCATAAACAGTGTAGTATTAATTTTCATAAACAGTGTAGTATTAATTTTCATAAACAATGTAGTACCATTAAGTTTCATAAACAGTATAATGCCGTTAAGTTTCATAAATAGTATAGTACCATTAAGTTTCTTAAACAATATAGTACTGTTAAGTTTCATAAACAATGTAAAGTTTCATAAACAATGTAATATTTTTCATAAATAATGTAATAAGTTTCATAAACAGTGTAGTAAGTTTCATAAAATAGTAAGTGTGAGAACAGTCACTATTTTATTTTTTAGTTTTTTTTAATATTAAAATTATGTCTTTTTCATTAAAATTTATGTTATTTTATTCTTTTTATTAAAGTTAAGGGTTTCATTAAATGTTTTTTTATTAAATAAAGTTATAGCATAGTTTTTGGTTAAAATGAGTTTAGCTCAAGCTCTTTTCATGAAAGTTCCCAAATTTAGAAACATAATTTGCAAACTAAATGATGTGTCAAAAATGAATAGGTTTATCAACGCTTAAATAATAAATTAATCATTAACTTTCATGTCCTTTAGTTTCTAAAATTTTATCTACAAATTTGGTTTACCTGAAATTTTTCTTTTGTCAATTTACGCATATAAATATATTTAAAACATGTAAATCGTGTGTAGCACATCGTGATTCAAAAAATACATTATGCACGCGTGTGAGCGCGCATAAAGGCTAGTCGAACTCAAAGCCACCTATCCCCTTTTAACCCAAAATGTTGGCAGCTTCCCTGAAGTGAAATCTTAATTGGGCAGCTTTACTCCACTAAAAACTTTATAATTGTTTAGGTGTAATAACCACAAGTGCTAAATTACTTAACAAAAACACATATAACGTACCAGACACTAGAGAGAAAACATCTACCACTTTCCAATTGAAAAAAGGAAAAAACTAGTCACATTAAGATGGTTTATTACACATGAAAGGTTTGATTTATTTTTTATGTTGTTTGCAAATTATTAGGTACGAGTCAAAGTTTATCAAGAAAATTGTTAAAGTGATTGGAGACAAGTTAAGTCGCACACTATTGAGTGTTGAACCAAAATTGATTGGAAACCAATTTCAAGTCGAACGCATCAATTTGTGGTTACAAGATGGATCAAGTGATGTTGGTATACTTCTTGTGTATGGCATGTCTGGAGTAGGGAAGACAACCATTGCAAAACAAGTTTACAATTCAAATTTTACAAGCTTTGAAGGAAGTAGTTTCATTGAAAATATCAAAGAAAGAGCAGATCGACCAAATGGCTTAGTTCAAATACAAATGCAACTTCTTTCTGATATTTTGATCGGTAGAAAAGTGGAAATACATACTGTTAGTGAGGGAATAATTAAGATTGAAAGCGCCATAAGCTCTAGAAAAGTTCTACTTGTCCTTGATGATGTGGACCATATGGACCAATTAGATGCAGTACTAAAAATGAAAGATCGGTTTTATCCCGGAAGTAAGATACTTATAACAACTAGGCGTGAAAGATTGCTAAGAGCACATCAAGTTACAAAGGTGTACAAAGTTGAAACTTTGAATTACAATGAATCACTGGAGCTTTTCAGTTGGCATGCATTTGGCCAGAACCGTCCCATAGAAAATTACATGGAGCATTCAAAAATGGTAGTGCAACATAGCGGTGGACTTCCATTAGCTCTAAAAGTTTTGGGTTCTTCTTTATCAGGGGAAAGTATAGATGTATGGGAAAGTGCATTGGAGAAGTTAAAAGTTATCCCTAATGGTGAAATCATGAATAAACTAAGAATAAGTTATGACAATTTACAAGATGACCATGACCAGAAATTATTCCTCCACATTGCTTGTTTCCTAATAGGAAGGGACAAAAACTACACTGTTAGAATACTCGATGGATGTGATTTCTGTACAATTGTTGGCATTCAAAATCTCATTGATAGATGCTTGGTGACAATTGATGGATACAACAACGTGCAAATGCATGACATGATCCGTGACATGGGAAGAGAAATTGTTCGCCTGAATCAGAAGAGTCTGGAAAACGTAGTAGATTATGGCGCCATAAGGATTCTTTTGAAGTACTGAGGGAAAAGAATGTAAGAAACATGCCTTTTATGTCTATATATGTATTTCTCCTTGTGAAAATTATCCATAATAATGTTTTAACTTTTTCTTTTCTTTTCTGTTAGGGTACACAAACAATTCAAGGTCTTGCCTTGGATATGCGTATGCATCTTGCAAACGGACCAATAAACACAAATGAGACCGTCTTGGAAACCAATGCATTTGAAAGGATGCGCAATTTACAACTACTCCATCTTAGTCATGTACGACTGGATGGATGTTATGCAAATTTCCCTACAAGATTAAGATGGTTGTGTTGGCTTGAATTTCCATTGGATTCTATACCTGTTGATCTTCCTTTGGAGTGTCTAATTGTTCTTGAAATGCAACATAGTAGCTTAAGAGAAGTCTGGAAAGGAACAAAAGTATGTTACTTTATGCATTTCAATTCATTTTCCTTATTTTGTTAGTTTTTTATTTGTGGACTAACTCCATGTGTTAAAATGAACTCCTATGTTTTCTTTAATTCGATAACTAATTTCTTATGTTAGATACTTATTTCATTGTTTTTCTTCTTTTTCTTTTTTCCTTTGTTTCCACAGTTTCTTCCATCGTTGAAGATCCTTGACGTCAGCCATTCCCATTCCCTCACTGAAATCACGGACTTTTCACTTTGCCCTAGTCTAGAAGAATTGATTCTTGTTGATTGCACCAGCTTGATTGATGTTCATGAGTCCATTGGAAACTTGGAGAGATTCGTGTACTTGAATACGAAGGATTGCAAGAATCTTAGGATGCTTCCGAAGAACATGTGCATGCTTAAATCACTTGAAAAACTCATTTTATCTGGCTGCTCAAATCTTGAAGAGTTTCCAGTGGAGATGATGAAGAAGATGGTGTCTTTGAAAGTTCTTGAAATAGATGGAATTCCAATAAGTGAATTGTGGCCAGAAAGAAGCTCAACTATCTTGAGTTCTTTTCCATGCTCTTTGGTAGAGTTAAGTCTCAAGGGGTGCAATCTTTCTGATGATGCCTTTTGTAGGGATTTAAGTAGTCTATCCTCGTTGCGAAAACTAAAGTTAGGTGAGAATCCAATTTGCAGTCTGCCAGATTTCATCAAAGGTTTGAGGAGGCTCGATAAACTCTCTTTCAAGGGTTGTAATAGACTCGAATCGCTTGTGGGGTTGCCGAAAGTACACCAAAGGATGAGTATAGCCGGATGCATATCATTAACAAAAATAACACCTCTTTCCCCTGAGCCATTGTGTGCAATGTGCAAGGTGGATGACAACTGGAATCTAGTTGAGTGGCAGTACGATTACAAGTTAGAGCCTATTGATAGAGTTGATGTGGAAATGATCAAACTTTTGGGCTTGTGCAACTTGGAATCCATGCCTGCAATTCGAATGAAAAGCGTATTATTCTTATATCCAATAGTGAGTCCTGTCCAGGTGCGCCTCTCTCTCTCTCTCACTCTCTCTCTCTTTCTCTCTCTCTCTCTCTCTCTCTCTCTCATATCATGTATATAATGGGAAATAAATGACTTAGTAATGTTGTGATGATCATGGAAAATGCATAGGGACTCTATCAATTTGGTATATTCAGCACATTTTTTGTTGGGAATGAGGTTCCAGGCCGGTTCAGCTATAAAAGTACCAAGTCCTCCATATCTTTTAGTGTCCCTTTACTCCCTTCTAGTCATAGAATCCAAGGCTTGAACATCTTTGCTACCTATGCAAACAAGGAGAATTCTAATAATGATGATGAATGGAAAGCGGTTTCAAACATAATCAAAGTGAGTAACAAGAGCAAGGGTCTGAAGTGGATCTATGGCCCATTATTCTATGGTATCCCAGGTGACGGAGAAGATATGATATGGTTGAGCCATTGGAAGATGGAGAACGAAACAATATTACAATGTGGAGATCAAGTGGTGGTTTCAGTAATGACCGGACCAAATAAGTTGTTTCGGATAAAGGAGTTTGGTGTCGAGCTTATGCAAGAGCACCATAATAATATGATGATAACTACCCAACACAACACCAAATCAGATCCTAATGATCCATTTGTCATCGGTGGAGATTTGTCCATGTGGGAGCATATACCAGGAATATACTCCATTGGTTTCGGTGTCGAAATTGTTGAAGAGAGATGGTTTAATCGCCTCATCATGGACGCTGATGATGGAGACACAGGTATGTTGTGTTGTTGTATTGCAATGAATTATACTCCATCCAAACGCTTTCAAGTCTGTCTGTATTCAATTAAAAAACATAAAGTTTATGTTATTTGTATGTTTTTTTAGACAAAGAAGGGCAAGAGGATGAACCTGATTACACAATTGCAAGGACAAAAGCTGCGGCGGCTGCCAGTAACAACTGCGGCCTCAGAGGCTGGAAGGTGCTCCTCACAGCTGCCGGCTTATTTTTCACGCTTGCTCTAGTAGTTCGGTCATCCATCTCCCAGAAAAAGAAGCGACAGTAGTCCACAGGCCATCCATGAGTTTGTAATTTTATTCGATACAGACATCTTTGGGTTCCCTCCTTGTATGTTCAACATCATCAAATATTGCATAAATATAGCATAAAATACATCCAACATTAGCCATACTTAAGAATTTTTCTTCCCTGCCACTGATTGCATACAATCCTGTACTAGAGAAGATAAACAAATGGTTGTATGCTAGCAGTAAATAATTGAAAAAAAAATGATTTTAAACATACAAGGGAAGGACGTATCTTTAGTAATACCAGGCAAGAATCAATTAATCGAATTGGGGGAAAATATTTCTGTAAATGTCAAATTTACAGATATTAATTGTCATTTACAACAAAATCATACATCTTAAAGACTCGGCTCCCATTGAAAAATTGTGTAAATTACATAAATATCAGTGCAACAGATATTAGATTGAATAATATATCAAATAAATTAACAGCAGACAATTTCTTAGCCTGAGATTCAAGGACTATACAGCTGATTCAGCCTTGCATCGCTACTACACTACGGAAGCTGGTTTCTACTTCTTCAACCCGAACAAATTATTGAGGTCAGGAAGCATAGGAGAAATGACCATGGTCTCTGGACCCATGAAATTTACTATCTTCTCATACACATTATACCTGCAAAAGCATAATGCAATAAGCTTTAAACAATCTAGCCTAGTTTGCTCAACATATGCTCCAAGATATTCCAAAACAAAATCACAGCAGTTTCACATAGGGAACCGAAGAATCTATTGATACCTTATCTTGCGACTATTAGAGGCTCTTCTGTCAACAATCTTCCTCTTCTTAGCATGCAACTTTTTCAAGGAATAAAATGATGTCTCTGCGAATAATCAAATAGTGCAAAATCAGAATCAATAAACAAAAGAAGTTCAGGATCAATTAGGTTGTGATTGTTAGCAGGAATAACTGCTAGCTTGTTTCATTTTTGAAGTTACAAAAATATAAAAAATTGAAGAATAGAAGTTCGGGACCGATTAGGTTCCAAGCCATTGACTTCAATACAATGTCATTGACTTCAATAGCTGCAGATGCAGATTGTTTGAATGATCTCATGGCTCAGACTTAGTTACTTAAAGTTGGGACTGGCGTGACCCCAATGAGAACCAAGCACAGACTTCACTACAATTCAGCAGACCCAAAGCTGATGTGAGAAGATTTACATTAACAATTGAGTCGGTCCAAGCTCAACCTCGATGCTTTGTGTTTTGGGAAAAGCTTAGGCAAGGCTGAGCTCAATCCATTCTTCTTGATTAACACTCTTACACTCTTAATGATAACTTAGTACCAGCTTAATCTGACTAATTATAGTAACTGTTGTAGCGGAACTTTTCAAATTTGGGGAACCCTCGCAATCATATGAAATCGAGGAAACTTGAAGCATTTCCTTAAAGTTTGATTTGATAAAATTAAACTCTATCTCAGCTAATATTACAGTTATAAGCTAAACACACATTATGAGAATTTAAACGGTTATTAAAAACTACAAACACAAAATCTAATCCATGATTCCATGTGAACTTGAGAATGCTTTCTGAAGCAAGAATCTGAACTCAATAAACATCGATCAGACAATAATTCACTATATAAATAATTCACTATATAAATAATTTTTTTCAACTTTAAGGATTGGCATAAAAAGAAGCTTTAAACAAGGAGCAATAATTTGATGTTGAAAAACAAAACCTATTTCATGGATATTACAAGAGTTATTATTTTGAACAACGTACCCTTTGGTTCTTCACTGCTTGACCTTTAAGAAGATCTTTCTTTAAAAATAAAAGGATTGTGAAGAGAAGTCTCTTACTGCTCCTGATGACGAAGGTTCATGTATTTTTTCTCGAGTTCTTCCATCTCGGCATCTTTATTATCATTTTGCCCATCGCCATTTTCCTCTTCCCCAACTTCTTCTCCATCTTCTTCCTCATTTTCTGATTCTTCTTCCTTCTCCTCGCCGTCGTGCTCATCATCAAAGTCATCCTCTTCCTGCTCCATCTACATCACAAATCATCAATTAACAACAAAATCACCACAACAAACTGAATAATTACCGAAACCCAATAACAGAATTTACAAATCAAACTAACATTCAACTCATTGCTGTTGAAATCGCCATTGTCCCCGAACTCACTGTCACTGTCAAGAGCCTTCATCGCCATTCATCTCCATTGCTTTGATACAACTTCATTTCAAATATCCAAACCAATTTACGAATCCCAAACCTTTTGAAGCTGCAAGGAGAAAAAAGACGACAAGAGTTGAGAGTCACAAAGGAGGCTGAGAAGAAGCTGCAGAGTTTGGGTTTTGGGGCCGTTTCTTAAACCCAAACCTGTCTTCTAAAACAAGTCCCAAAATCTGTCAATTATTTTCCCCTTCCTAGACCAGAAAACTTTGGGCCCTTAAATAAGCTTCATGGGCTTGTTAGGCCAATATTAGATTGAGCCAAGCCCGTCTCATTTAATTAGTACTTTATTGCCCATTCTACGAGAACGACTTATTTACTACAATCTAGTGTTATTTCTTTTTATTTGTAAATGATAGATTTTAAGTTCAACTCATGTAAATAACTAATTCAATACTAAATTATGATGTTTGGCTCATTGTGCGGCTAGCTCGAACTTCATACCTATTAAAGAAATGATAAAGACTTGCCTAAAATAGGAGTGACAGATTGTCGGATGTATCCCAAGCCAATTTTATAAAAGTTTCCCTCCAATCTCTCAACTATGGTTAGATGTCTTTTATTTGTGGATTTGGAATACAATTGACCTAGTAAGCTTGTTTCATATTAATCTTTCTTGTGTTCAACACACATCATAGTTTTCATAAAGTGAGCACCACATATAGGGGTTGTAGACATGCTTGAAATAATTTGAATTAAGCTCAGCTTTTTAGTGAAATGAGTTGAGCTAAAAAAATTGCTAGACTCGCTAAAAAAAATGAGTCAACATAGAGTTTTGGTATTTTCAGCTCATAAAGCTAGTGAAGAGCTCATATCTTTGATGAGATAGCTCATATCTTTCACTAGAATTCTTTATATAGGACTGACTGGGCTCCTATTTTAAATTACAGGTCAATCACCAATTTTATGCATTTAAGTGGATCACCCTCAGCTAGTATTATATCCTTTTGGACTGTATGGACTGTCTGTTTTCAAGGCATGAAGTGAAAATAAATTTACCTTTTGGTTTTCGCCTCCTGAATTATCTGAGCAATTGATTACAATAATGTATGTAGTACATAGTATTCTTAAGCCCGAGGACTAAATTATTAATGTATACAAATTTTCTTATAAGAAAACTTTCTACATGTTTTCTCACTCTTCTTAGTTTATGATTGAATTTTATACTCCTTTCATTCATTAATTTATGAAATGGGTTGTTTTTCTTTTGTGATTTCAGTAGTTAGTCTTCAGTGACTGCACAATTTCATGGTTTTTTTACTATCTCGGAAGTAATTGATAGAGTTGGATGTGATTCGAGCAAGTTTTGCAGATATCCATTTTGTTTTGATTCGGGCACCTTCTACCAGACTGTACAAAACATTAAAAAATTATTTGATTGTGTTGTTATGTATTTCTTTTTTTATTTTTTATGGCAGTATCATTTTCTCAACAAAATAGAAATTACTTAAATAAATAAACTACTCAAGCAATGAATCTTCAATGAGAACTCCATATTTTCTCAGGTTGGACAAAACCAGCAGGTGTTTCTTCACAAAATTTACATGCCCATCTCTTAGATGGACATAAAGAACATCAATTGTGTGTCTCTTACTTTTTTTTGGTTTAACTATAAGTTATGATTTTTGATACCGTAATGAGTTTTTTCTCATAATGCATATGAAGACCTTTGACTCTGTTGGTTTTGTGTTTGAAGCCAGAAAAACTCATATGTTGCTTTTGCAGTTTGATTAGTAGTTGTTAATTAGAATTGGTTAATTCTTTTACTAAGAATTTGTTTTTACTCACTCTATTGGTTCTTCTTCATATAAGTATATAGAAATTGCATCATCAGACTAATTAGAATTAGTCAGCTTATGGGTGTGTTAACATGTTTAAGTCGTAGTACTTAAAACTCAAAATATGCTGGAGTATTTCTGTCATTAATTCGTATCGAGCTCAGTATTTCATAAGAGTTGAACATGAGAGCTTTGTGGAAAGGAATAAAATTAGACCATACCATTTTATGTATGTTTGATTACATTGCTTATAATAGTAATAATTACGTTTTATTCACATTGTAGCTCTCATGGAGTCCCCTGCACAAACATGTGTCAAGCCGAATAACAATGGACTGCAGATATCAAACAATGTGGCTCACAAAATTAAGCAGGAGATTTAGGATGGTCAGTTTGCGGATACACCCCATTTAATTTTCAAATTAATTTAGTAATTGTTTGTGAATGAATTCAATTAGAACTCACATTTCTGATTTTTTTTAATTCATTGGATTATTAAACCGTGTCATTATAACATAATCTCAGCTAATGTGACATCAATATATTTGCCTAATTTTAGGAATGGGAAGTGATTCTGGTGAACGAAGCTCTAGAGTTCAAGTTTGTACTTCTGATTCTCATAGGTTAGATGGATGGAGAAAATCAGCAGGAGCTTATTCACTGTCATACAAGGTATACTTGGGATCAAAATCTATTTTGTTATGCATTGGAAAGTGTTTTTGTTTTATGAGGCCACAACTTAACTTACAGATAACGCAATGGTCCATCTAATAATATCATGTGTTGTGATTGTTTTTATTTCAATCAGTTTACCTGCCCTTTTTAACCATTGAATAAGCTATGCTCAATTGAATGTATATAAAAGCCAAGCTGCTTATCTTATCGACCTCATTCACTCATGTATCCCTTTGTTCATTCATGACAATTGGTTCCCACTGCAACGTGTTGGCTTATTATCTAGTGGTCTTCTAAAACAAGTCCCAAAATCTGTCGATTATTTTCCCCTTCCTAGACCAAAAAACATTGGGGCCTTAAATAAGCTTCATGGGTCAGTTAGGCCAATATTAGATTGAGTCAAGCCCGTCTCATTTGATTAGTACTTGATTGCGCATTCCACGAGAGCGATTTATTTACTACAATCTAGTGACATTTCTCTTTATTTGTAAATGATAGATTTTAGGATCGACTCATGTAAATGACTAACTCAATACTAAATTATGATGTTTGGCTCATTATGTGGCTAGCCCGAACTCCATACCTATTAAAGAAACGATAAAGACTTGCCTAAAATAGGGATGACAGATTATCGGATGTATCCCAAGCCAATTTTATAACAATTTCCCTCCAATCTCTTAACTATGGCAAGATGTCTTTTATTTGTGGATTTGGAATACAATTGACCTTGCACGCTTGTTTCATATTAGTCTTTCTTGCATTCAACATAAAACATCATAGTTTTCATAAAGTGAGCACCACATATAGGGTTTATAGACATGCTCGAAATAATGTGAATTAAGCTCAGCTTTTTAGTGAAATGAGATACATAAGAATTACAGGGGAATCGCTTTGAGAGATTGTGAGGGGTGTAAGATACCAAAAACTAGGGGTTGCAAAAGCATAGGGGGGGTTCTTTTAACTAAAGAGGCTTTTCATACTAGTGAGATATCTTGGGTAACACCTGTTGTACTTTTATGCGCAAACAGAAGCGAATTTTAATAAAGTAACAATATCAACGTCATAGGTGAAAACTAAAACAAACAATCTCAAACTAACACAAGAGATTTACGTGGTTTGGCGTAAAGCTTACATCCACGAGCGAAGCATGACGAGGAATTTCACTAAACAAATGGAGATTACAAAAGAGTGTTTAAATTCTCACAACCCAAATCCCACAAATTACAAACCTTAAACCAAACGAGTAGAGAACCCAAACCAACGGAGAAGATTCTCCCAAATTGCTCTCTAACTCACAAACTCACAAATTGACTCTCACCAAATTGCCACACGAATGAGCCGCGCATTTTCCACGCACTCATGATTCCAAACAGTGACCTCCACCCCAAAACCCAATTAGAGAAAACTCTCTAAGCCATGGTGAGGCACACAAAATACACTAACCCTAAGGTCCTATTTATAGTGCATAGGACTTAGGTTACAATAAGAATCCTAATAGGAAGTAAAAACAAATCCTAATCAAATAGGTAATTAACAAAATCTCTCCACCAAGAAACCAACTAAGAAGTCAAAATCCAAACCCAAATAGGACACCAAAACCAAATAGGTAACACAAACCTAATTCTTTGCACCATCCTAATTTTGAGCCGTAAAACCCAACAACACTGAAAGTGGAGTTAGGCACGATTCGCTAAACCACTATAATTCTTTATGTTCTTATCCTGTGTTAACTTTTTGTTTGGTGTTTTAGTTGTTTATTTATTGTTCTTGTTTAGGTGATCATATGAGTTATCATAGTCCATTGAAAACAAGATTCTGAAGGACGCGTTTGTACAACAGCTCAAACTCTTTTCAATTCTCATTAAGTCGAGCCAAACATTAGTTCGAACTTGTTTCCAAATGAGTTGTGGCAAGCCAACTACACGTTGGAGGTCAGTTTACAACAAACGAATCAAGTTGGCCCGAGATGTGAATACGTTTATACCCTTATCCACACGATTGATATTAGACCCAATGGAACGTGGGGGTACTATGATTGATTATATGTTACAATTTACATAAGGAGTTGAATATGGTGAAGTATTAGTATTACCTCGAACGTGCAAATTCTTGAAATCCAACCTATCATTGAAGATCCCTGCCAAAATTGAAAAGATAGGTGCTAATAGACCAAAAGCTCATTCTTCGATAAAAGAGATCCTTAAACTCTACTTGTATTTAAGCTCCTTCTATGTTAGAAATACGCATTATTTGATATCCCGAACATTATCTTTAATAGGATATAAATAAAATAAAAAAAATGTAAAAATTCAAAATGCACATATATTTATATAAAATAACTAAGAATGAAATGTCGGTCATGTGATGATTATCAACATTTAGAGATTGATGGTTTAATTTAAATTTATCTATATATTATACGTGGTGATTATTGAGGATTAGACTTAGTTAACCTCGCTATATTTAATTAATTTAGTAGCTTTTCATTTACTTGGGACAAACAAAATAAACAAACAACAAACAAATCCCATGAAAAACAAAGACAAAACCAAATTATACATGGATCATAAAGGATGGACCACACCTTCCTCCTATCAGTGGAAGGGTAATGTTAAGGAAAGTTGATGATTAGATTATTATTTAAATGTTGATAAACGTGC